TTGTACTCCCCAGTTACAAAAAAAAATTTTTAAAATTTAAAGGTATTCGCAGGCCACCACAGTTCATGAGCGAGAATATATGTGGAGCTATTTTTAAAAGCTTTTTTTTTTTGTATTTTGGGAGAAAATTTAAACACACCCAGAGATATATAGATATATATATATATATATATATATATATATTATATGTCACGTGTCTTACTAATTGTTTAAGTATCTCTCTAAGTCGATATTTTTAAACCGAATGGCCTGTTTTAACACGAAAATCGGATGTCATAGGATGATTGACACGTGAGTAGTTTAAATAAAAATATAATTAGGATTGTAATAATTGAAAAAAAAAAAAAAACCCTAGTATAACCCATAACCCCTCTAACCCTAATTATAATAGCGAGATTTATGAAGAGTTAAGACTTAAAAGTGCCACATGTCAAAAAAATAGTGGAATCCGATTTATATTAAATATCGGTTGATCCGCTCAGAATTTAATCTCTTTAATTAAATATTAGTTTCCCAAACAATAATCTTTAAGGTAAAGTAAGCCCCTTTTTTTTGGGAGAGGTAAAAAACAGTTTGGAGAATTAATGATAGTTTAATTTATTTACCGAGGGAGAGTAGAATGGTTCGATTTTTAAATGAGAACATGCAATCAACTTGTTGCATGGTATTCTACTCTTCTTTTATTTGAACTATCAAACATATAAGTAATTACCAAAACAAAAAAGAAAATGATTAACTAATTAAACTCTGCTTATAACTCAGCTGAGAAGACAAATGGAGCTGCAGTGAACGATGCCAAATATCCCGGAGGAGGCGGTAATTATGGTGGTGGATACCCTGGAGGCGGCGGTAACTACGGTGGTGGGTACCCGGGAGGAGGTGGTAACTATGGTGGTGGATATCCTGGAGGAGGCGGCAACTATGGTGGTGGCGGACGTGGTGGTAATTATGGCGGTGGTAATTATGGAGGAGGTCGTGGTGGTTATGGGGGCGGCCGTGGTGGTTATGGGGGCGGTGGTCGTGGTAACTACTGCCGCTATGGTTGTTGTGGCCGGAACTACTACAGAGGTGGTTGCCAGTGTTGTACCTTCGCCGGTCAGAAGGTGGATGCTCAGCCTCAAGCCAAGCCTCAAAACTGACAAATTTAATTCTGTCAGCAGAAAGATTATTATGTTGGCATATTATATATACATATATATGTATTTGGTTTTTAAATTACAGTACTACTATGTGGGGCAGTGTGAGATAAAAAAAATCATATAATGAATAAAAATGCAAGCATGCATACCCCGGAGCATGCATATATATAAAAGTGTGAGTGCGAGCGAGCGTGTAATTTAACTTTTACCTTTTCTTCAAATTGAACTCTCATCAATATAATGTACGTATGTATACATAACATACTAGTGTTGTTGAATAGAGAGGTTGTGATTTGCTTTTAACGAGCAATTTTTTACATCATTTCTGTTTATTATAATAAATGTTTTCCTGTAACATTCAAGCACAGATACTGTAGCTAGGATAATTATAACTAAAAGGCCTCTTTTGGTTTGATGTATGGGATAGATAAATTTATTGGGATTATATAATTTTACACTATTCATGATTATATAGTAGCCAAAATTGTGAATTTGGTTTGTAGGATTTACTACTAAGGATAACTCTAATGTGACTTTTGGTTTGGATGATAATGACTGATAACATCTGCAATGACAAAATCACCCTTTCCATTTATGTACCGGTGGTTTCATACTTGGATTTCATTTTACCTGTGTTTTTACGGGAAAAAAAAAAAAAAACAATACACAGATAATTTCTTTTTTTAAACAATGAAAAACTAAATTATGTTAATATAATGCATTAAGCTAATGGACAACTGAGACTGCCGCCAACAGATTGATTACAAGTCATTATGAATCCAACTATTAGCAATGGTTTTTGCCTCTGAAATGAACCAAACCAAAAAATGACCACAATTTCATCCAAATTGGAAAGAGAGAGAACAATAGTGAACCATTTTTAATGTTCATCTGGCTACACATTTAGATAACAACATTAAGGAAGGGCAAAATACAAGACAATCCACATCATTAAAGCTAGACAGATTGAAGTTTTAACAGATACATAAAAATAGCAGCTTTCGATCCAACAATACAACTTAACTAAAAAGGAGTTTAATAATATAACATTCTTGAATAATTTCACAAAGTTGACTTGTTTAGAAATGAATCTATGCATATATGCTGAAGGCCGAAGGGTTTCGCCTGGTTCAAGGAAACAAGTCCACGCTCAGCGGTTGGCAAACCGGTGATCAATTTCCTGAAATACAAAATTTTTGCAATCTAATTTAATTTGGAAAAATCCTAAAAGAAATTTTATGAATCGTGTTTTGCTTTTGTATTGTATTATATTATATTAATATCTAGGTAAGTAATTACCTTTCAGCACCATTGTGCTTGGTTTCATAAGAATATCTTTTAGCAGTTTTTTTAAACTCACAGCATCGCCATAGTCGACCAAAACATGTCAACAAACACAGAGGATCACATATGTAATAATAACTTATTTATTAACCTTAAACAATGTGAGTATTTTTTTACCTGAAGGGTTCATCACCAGCTTGTTTAAGAGCAACCGTTGCATCACGATAAAACACGTGGCTCATAATCTCCGAACTTTCAATTCCAAACATATGTCCAAGCCTCTTGAAAGACTCTTCGTACGACCCAAGAGAAGACAAATTAAGAGTCTGGCCTACATCTTCGGAATCCAAGAACACTTTGCAGTGACCAGTGTCCAGCCCAATTTCAGATGAATGATAACCCGATTTCCTAAAAAACTAGGCACCATAACAATCCAATGAATGCATGGACCTGTAGATTTTGCATGCCCAATTTCATTGTTTTGCACCCATTCCCAAACATGAGCCAGCAACTTTAATAATTCGAGAAGGACTCTTGAAAATTATCAAGAAACTCACCCGAGAACAGATTTTTCCTTCGAGCTGCATGAAAAGAATACCAAAGACAAAATTGTTAGAACTAATAATTTCCCAAATTTGAAACAAGATTAGCATGTACCAAACAAAAGATATAAATATATTCCTTTTCAGATTCCACTAACAGGTTAATATCCAAACGGGAAATAGATATATGAAATAATAATAATATAAATTAAAAAAAGCAAGGAATCTACCCAAAAAAAATGTGAAGATTTAAAGTATGTATACAAATACACGCAACAAATTCTTCTAACATCAAAGTGCCTTTTTGAAGAGTTACAAGAAATTTAAGTATAAGAAGGGGCGGAGGAAAAATAATTTTGAGAAATACGACAAATTCTTCCTCGTTCTCTTGCAAGGACTGACTGCGATATTGAGCAAAGGTCTGAAAAGTTCGAATTAAATTCACAAGATTTCGAATTCAATTTCCGAAAATTGTTCCAATTAGATGTGTAATCGATTTCATTGAAAGAAGAATCAAAGAAAAATATTTACCCATAACTTTCAGATATTTTAAGATCTACCCGTCGTTTGTTCGGAGGATGTTGCTGTTGTCGCGCCAGAGAAAGGGGTTCGTCGGAGACCCACTAATGAAGATGAGGAGCAGAAATTTGTGAAAGTGAGAAAACGGGAGCATGTACGTCTTTTTTACACCCAATTTTGTGTAAAGAATGATACATCTCTGACCCTTTTGGTCATTTCATCTTCACCTGTTATACTGATTGTACAATCCTACCTCAGAGGGTGAGATAATTTATCACCCATATGCATGATTCGGTACCGGGCCCTCAATCAATACCGGGTTTATGTCCCACATACCAAACGTCTGATTAAGGGTGACTATTTTGTCTATCACCCCTTATCCGCCAAACCAAAAGAGCCCAAAGAGTACAGGAATTATCATTATTAACTAAGAAAATGGACTCTCGCGTTCGTAAGAGTCGGAATGTCGAACCAACGTAGAACAATAATATTTTATATTTCTAATTAACTAAGTATCTAAATCATCATATCTTATTTTTATCCAAGCTAAGGAATGGGGAGATAATTAATTCAAACAAAATAATAAATACGAGAAAGTCTATCAATAGCATGGTAGTTAATCTCGCGATATACCGCGATATATATCGTGATACGGTACGGTTCCAATCAAAACGATACAACTCGAGTTTTGTATCGCGTATTGATAAATACCGTTAAAAACCGCGAGATATCGTATTGTATCGTCGTATCACGATACGATACGATATTTACGATATTAGTCGACAATTAAAAAAAGCGAAAAAAAAAAAGAAACGCTATCAGCTGCTCTGAAAATTGGATTTGAACAAATTTCTTCAATATCCCAACCTTAATTCACACTTTTCTCTTCAATCTCTTCACCAATCTTACAATATCGCAACCCTTGCAATGCGATTTTAATTTATGCGATTCAAGACCGATTCAAGGCGTTTTTTGACTGCATTTTGCGATTGATAATGATGAAGGCAATCATTTAAAATTGGTGGATGAAGACGATTTAAGTGACATTGATCTTTAAAATTATGAGTGACCGAATATTTTTACAAATTAGGTATTCGAATTTGAACTTAGGGCCCATTTCGCTAAAGTTTATTTTAAACAGCTGATAAACTCTTACATCATCTGATAAGCTGTATTAAGAGTTGATAAGTTGTTACGTTTTGTTTTTAGAATTGATTTTTTCAAGTGTTTGGATAATAATCTTACAAGATATTTTTACTCATTATAAGATCTTAACTAAATAGACGGGGTAAATGTACTTTTTCAAAAACTCCACCAACTTATATTTTGATTTTTTAAGATCTTTTTAAAAAAATTACCTAACACATTGGAAGAGCTTATAAACTCTTAAACATCTTATAAGCCTAGACAAACACCACCTTAGATGATGTTATTTGATGAACAATTATATTTTTTGTCATATTTTATAATAAGATGTTGAAACTTGAATTTATATCTATTTTGAAATGAGTAGTTTACTAAAAAAGTAATAAATTTTATATGTTTATAATATTTTTATAATGTAGATATATATTTTTTACTATTTTAATAGTTGGTTAAATATCTTACGATACGATACGATAACGATACGGTACGAGACGTGGAGCAAAACGATACGGAATATTTTTACGATCCGATAACCATGATCAATATGACTTCATCTTCTTTCTCTATGCTTCACCGAAATCCCTAATTAGTTCGCAATTACATCAATTTATTGGCTGAAACACTCAAATGTCACTACCAACTGACGTGTGTATTGTGACTTAATATACACAATCAAGTACAATATATGTCCACGGCAGATGATTATTAATAAAACCATCAAACATCATGTTCCTAACTCGCAATTGTACACGGTGTGCAATTCACCTAGTAGAAAAATGGTTTTTTACTACAACCATAAACTATATAGCAAAAGGTACCAAATTCGTAGTAAAAAGCCATTTTTCTATTACTTCATGTTCATGTATGTCTTAAAATGCACGTTAACTCCACTATTCAATAGATATGTTTTAGTATAATATTTCTAAAACTAATCGTCAGTTAATGAGGAACTAGCTCGTAGCCAGTTCTATGCACATATAAGAACAAGATGTTGGGATATGATTCATAGGAGCCATTAAAAAGTCACAACAGATTCGGATTTTATCTTTAATTTTATTAATATACTTTGATTAGATTCGTTTAAATCGAAATAAATCTAGTCTAACAAATTACATTTTTCCCAAGCAGTTTATTTGTCTATCAGGTTTGGCGCACGAACGGCCAAACCTGATCGGCGAGCTAGTATACTTTGTACCGCCCCATCAATTTTATTAATATACTTTGTAGGCCTGTGTTCTAGAAATATCTAAATATATAGTCTAATAAAAAAATAAAAATAATAAAATAAAAAATAAAAAATAAAAAATAAAAAAAGAAAGCGAGTATGTTTGCTTAATTTGACTGCAAAAATGGGCCAACACTGTGTTATGGAATAAATGATTTTTCTGTTTCACCAAGTAGGGATGAACATAAACCCGCCAAACTGATAAGTGTCCGTTTTGCAAGACGTTTACTTATCGAATCTTTGTGTTTTGGTCTTCACTCGTCCGAGTTTTCGGCTTTATTTGTATATATTATGTTGTTTTTGTTTTACTTCAGTTTAGGTAAAGAAAAGTTATTTTTACCGATTCAAAACGATTTTGGAAGCGAACCGAGAATCAAACAGAACACGTGCAAAAGTGCATTCTCGTGGGTTGTGGTAGTGTTCGATATTTGACGCATAACTCTCTCATATGACTTCCTATTGAGTTGATTCAAGTGGCGCTTGAAACCCAACTACGAGGGCTAAAGAATTTGTGAAACATATTTTTGTTAAATTCGGGCTGCAAAAGGGGAAAAACAGTGTTTGAAGTTGATGCATAAGCCAAATTGCGATCCACTCCGTCCTTATCGCAATTTGGGGTCACTTACGGAAGGTTTT